CAAGCTCTCATATGCAAATACTCAACACTCACCCAACGTGGAGACAGACATAAATAGACACTGTGCACACAATCACACTCCCCAAGCGTACTCTATACACCAGGTCTTGGTACCCTTGCCCCTAGAGGGGGAAACTGCACCCAGACCCAGGCAGTGTTACCCTTTAATGACATGGATTCTACATTGTTACTGATGTGATGTTCTACAAAGTGGTTTTAATTAAAAAAAGGCAAACATTTATTTGTTTCTTAATTCAACTTTTGAACAGTGGTACTTGTAATGCAAATTATTTACATGGCAAATAATTCAAGCACAAATGTAGATAAAACATTATGGGTTACTCAGAACAGAACTATGCAGTGAACTATGTCTTTGAGAGTGCAGTACCTGAAACTGTCATGGTCCTGGGCCATGTTGGCCCAGTATTCTTAGTTTTCGTGTGTTTTGTATTTTGTTCTTTATTTATGCCTTGGTTCCTAGGTTGTTTAGTTAAGATGTTCCTTATTTGGTTACCCCCTGTGTGCCCCTCAGTGTATCTGTGAACCCTTGTTTCCCCTCCTTGTGTTTTATTCCATGTTTTCCCCAGCCCGTTATGTCCGTGCTCTCTCTCCTCCTGTCTGAACCTCTGTGTACTTCCTGTTTTACTTTGACAGTCTCCCGTCAGTGTTGCATTTACTCCTGCCATGTCTTGTTATAATTATGAGTGTCACCTGTGTTCCCCATGTGCTCCCACTTCCCTCATTAACCCTCTGTGTATTTATGTCTGGGTCTCCCTCAGTTCTGTGTTGCGTTCTCCCTCATGCTGTGTGTGATTCTCCCTGCGTTTCCTGGTGAGCTTTATATTTAGTTTTTCCCAGTTTAGTTTTGTATTACTCGTGATCTGTCTTTCCAGCAATAAAGCTGTGCTTTCTGAGTTTATTCCCCGTGTCCCCGTGAGTTTGCATTTGGGTCCTCTCCTGCCTGCCACACAGCCTAATCATGACAGAAACATACACAAACAAAGTTCATTTAAAGACAAGACATTTATCATAAATGTAACAAATAAAGTGTTTAGAAAGTTAGCACATACATGTAATTTTTTATCTTTTCTGTATCCATCTATAGAACGCTGCATGTTATATTCTAAGTCTGCCTGTTTTGTGTGTGTGTGTGTGTGTGTTTTTTTCTGCCAGCAAAATATGAACCTAAAGTATGTCATGCAAGGATGCAATCACTTTCAACAAGGAGAAAGCATAAAGTTCAACTTTTATGAATCACTTAATATGATAAGGAGATTCTGCAGGTCAGTAATCAATGTATAAAACCAAAATAGAATGTATTTTTAGTTACACAGGACATAAACACAGAAGCAAGATGTATAATTAGGATTATTTATAATAAATATGAATTAGTGCAATTTCTTTAATCACAGAGAATAGGGTGACCAACCATCCTCTTTTCCCTGGACATGTCCACTTTTCATGTTCTGTCCGGGGCGAACGAGGGGATTTTCTAGATGGATGAATATGTCCAGGTTTTCCTACAGAGGACCCATATGTGTGACGTCATCCCCGAGCTGCGGCTTTGTGAGTGGTTGTTCTGCATTCATAGACAGGATAGACAGCGCGGAGCAGCGCGCCTGGTGATGTTTAAAACCAGCCAAAGAGCAACTGCAGCTTTAGGACAAACTGCAAAAGAAATTTCCCTCGTACCGTCCCGGTACTGGTAATTTTTCTTGTACAGATGAGGCCTTATTTCTGTACCATTACTTAATTCCAGAGGTTTTTAAGTTATTTTTTGCCCTTGTTGACTTATAAAAGTCTGTGACATTTTTGTTTCACAATTCATTAACCACACAGAGAAGGCATCATTTAAATATGTTAAAATTTTCTTTAAGCAAACAGTATTATTAAAGTTCTTCATGACTGGGCCAAGTGTCCTCTTTTTTGGAAATCAAAATATGGTCACCCTAACAGAGAATGACTAAATGCTTCAGGACACATCAGTCACATCAGTGCACTGAACTCACTATGTTATCCATCTAATAGAGCCTCAACATGTTCTCACTGTAATTTCCCCCTCATGAATAAATTTATGAATGCACTAATCTGAATGTTCAGGGGAAAATCAAATGCATTTTACTCGGAGTACTCAAGCTGACTTACCTTTGTTTGGATGATGACGAATTGACACCGTGGAGGCTTAAAAAAAGCCAAATATTGTACCCAGTCCTTGGTGGATGTGCACCTCCAGAGATTTATAGTTGCGAAATTGGTTCGCCATGTATGCGCTGATTCCACAGACAAGGTACGAGAATATATCGGGCTAAGTCAATAGTGGTTGGCCTTCAGGGTTTCTACTCCACTGCCGTATTTCATAAGGGTCCAAATTTCCAATGCAAGCTATTTTTTGCAAGTACCGTCTCTTTGCATCCGGACGCAATCTGTCTCTATAATGTCTTTTTTCTTTTGAGCTGCTTTTACGTATGGTTCGTAGCAATCTTCCTTCCAACACAGTGTGTTTGTTTTGATTCGTGGCCTGCTAAAATGGTGCCATGCTCCCACAATGCATTGCGGCATGACATCAACTCCTTGTGTTTATATGTGTATGCATGTGTAGCTGTATATATCCACACGTGTGTGTGTGTGTGTGTGTGTGTGGGTGAATTTTGTTGCTTACATTGTTGAGATATACATTGCTGTGCTTGAGAGTCACCATCTACCGGAACGAAATTCCTTGTATGTGTTTGTGCATATACATGGCCAATAAACTGTGTAATAAGTCACTTTACTGACACAGCCTCACGCATTCTAAGATTTTGGAAGTTTGTGTAGAATAGCCACAAGCATAA